AGGTGGTGAGCAACTGCATTGTGCATCACTTTGGGGTTTTATTTCTCTGTGTTTTAGCTACATTCCTTTTCATTACTATTATTGTAATTTATTATTATTGTTAGGATCATATTTTATTTTATTTTAGTCATTAAACTCTTCTTATCTCAACCCAGGAGTTTTGTCTTTTTTTCCAATTCTCCTCCCCATCCCACTGGGAGGGAGGAGGAGTGAGCGGCTGCGTGGTGTTTAGTTGCCGGCTGGAGTTAAACAACAATACTGCAACCTGCAACGTTACATTTCCTTGCTTTTTTTATCAGCCCAGACATATGAAAATCTGTTGTGACATGTTATTTTGCATCTTTTTAGTGCACAGGGACTGAGTTAAATATTTTTATATAAAGTTTGGAGTGGTTGTCCAAAGCAGAATTAAATCATTTTTTTTCTCAGAAAAAAAAAAAAAAGAGTAACATAAAACAGGGGATCATACTGCCTTCAAAGAAACAAGACAAAGTCAGTGGAAGCTGAAACTGATCTGTGACCAGTTTGTCAGTGAGCCTGCCTTTCAAAGTCTGTACTAAGCTAAAAATCCAATTAAAAATAGATAAAGAAAGTACAGTACAAGGAAACCAGGCTGTTGAAATTAGTTGAGGTTCTTCTGGGCCATGTCCTGAAACATGTGGAGAAAAAGGTGGAGAAACCTTGACTGGATCAGTAACTATTTCTGCAGCTCAAAGACAGAAACATATAAAAAGAAAATGCCACCATCAGCAAAATCAAGATGTCTGTGCAGGGGCTGCCATTCCCTTATCATGAAGGGTTCAAACTCATCAATTTGTTTCTTTTCCTAAGTTTCTTGGGTTTCTCCATTGGAGGCCCCCACCTTTTCCTCACAGTTCTGATAAAGTTGCTGAATAGTTTGTCATTTGATTAGGATCTGCATAGGTAGGAGGGCAGACGGGAGAGAAAGACAGAAAATAACCTTTTCTCAAATCCCTTTATCAGGCAATGAATGTAATTACGGGCTGTTGCCTTCTCGAAGCCTAAGTGAGACGTACAGTCTGTTCTGATTGCGTGTACTCTTCTTCTGTCAGGAGGCCAAATGTGCTTATGTTATCATACTGATGGCACTGTTCTGGTGCACGGAAGCCTTGCCATTGGCTGTCACAGGTCTCTTTCCTGCCCTGCTGTTCCCACTAATGAATATCACGGATTCGACAACAGTAAGAGCTCTTCCTCTATACATCTTTGCCGATGCATTTACTGGTCAGCTTCTCTTATTCTGGGATTGTGTCCGGGGTGATTTCTAGAGTGTGGCGCAAAGAAGAGAAGATTGCAGTCTTGTTACAGAGGGAGTCGGCTGTCCTTTCCATGGAACAGAACTTGCATGAGCCTAGAATGAACTCTGGGTGGAGCTGGCAATCTGAAACCAAAGCACATGCACTGTTCAGATGCAACCCGCAGTTAACTGAGTGCTGATGTCTTTGGGACAAGATCCTCCCACAGAAAGCGCCTTCTCTTTAAACGTTGGCTTCTGGTCACTGTTTTCTCTCCCTCGTTCCACGTTACAGGTCTGCCGGGAGTACTTGAAGGACACCAATATGCTTTTTATTGGGGGACTGATAATGGCCATTGCTATTGAGAACTGGCATCTACACAAGCGCGTTGCTCTGCAGGTCTTGCTTATCACTGGTGTCAGACCAGCCCTGTGAGTAACAGTCCTGAAAACGCTGTGGGATAAAGGACTTTATGGCATTAGTTCCTATCTCAGAGTTGTCTGTAGTCTCCTATGTGAATCTGCAAATCACATCTTACAAATGCTTTTCTACAGTCCAAGTGAGTTAGTGCCTGAGCAACCCTTGCAAACGGGGATCTTTTGATGTGTTACAGACCTGGTGCCTCTCTTCAGAATTCCAAATGGCTTTAGGTGGAGAAATTGCAACAAGAGAGTCAATGCTGAAAAGACAAGGGTGCTGCTAGGCTTGGCCAGAAGCACAGCTTTAGACAATCAGGAAAGACTACAGCCAAAATACAGAAAACATATATTCTCTAACTGTTATACTGAGTGCAAAGAGAAGAGAAAATATAGGGATGCTTGTTTTGAGAACAACAAATGTTTACCAGACTAGAACTTTAAGCTATGCAGAGGCTACATGGCCGTATTTAATTTGTTTCAGATCATACAAAGAGGGAATACTGAAGGAAATTACAAAGCGATAGAATAAGAATGCATAGATAAGCCCTTTTCATCTAATATATAATCTACATCTCATCCAAAGAATAATTTTGAGACAAATAACAGAGTAATACTGAAACAAGGATTAGAATTTTATATGAGTAAGAAAAGAATCTTAAATAATACAAGTGGGATAAAATTAAAAAAAAAAAGAAAAGAAAAAGAGATCATCTTCCTTATAGCTTAAACTGATTGCCATTTGGGATCAAATTCAGCTTGTAATTCCTCTTCAAAATATATTATAATACATTAACATGTGTTACTGAGATGGTATGTTCTTCCTCAGAAGCATGCAGAATAAGCAGGATACTGATGAGATAAACTGTCTGCTCCAAGATACCGGCTTCCACTTTCCTAGTCATAAGAATGCAAAAGCAGAATTGGCTGAAATCCCAAAAAGAAAAATTTCCGTTAAATCTTCCTGTGACATTCACAAAGCAGCCCAGGGTAAGAGGAAGTGCTAGGTGTGAATTGCTAACCATGTTCCAAACTCAGCGTTTGTAACCAAAGCTATGTAACAAAAAAAAAAGGGCATTTTGCAGCACTGAGTTCTGAACTGGCTTTTCCAAACCTTTTCATTTCAGACTTCTCATGGGTTTCATGATTGTGACCGCCTTCCTGTCCATGTGGATCAGCAATACTGCCACCACTGCCATGATGGTCCCAATAGCACAAGCAGTGTTGGAACAGTTGAACAAATCAGAAATGGATTCTAGCACAGCTGGCCAAGCATCTGAAAACATCAATAAAGCCTTTGAACTGCAGGAAGAGTCAATTAAACCAGATAGCTCCAAAGAAACGGAGGAAAAAGGTGAGTGGGTTATGGGTGTTTTTCTCTTTGGGGTGACGGAGGACAACCTGATGCCTTCTTCACTGTCATTACAGTTGCTAGTAAATTCTAAAAGAATGGACCTAAAGAATCCCAACTGTATCAACGAGCATTGACGAGGCTTTTCCATGAACCAGACGAAAGCACAATAAGATCTACCGACTTGGCTGAAGTTAGAAATAGATTTAAAATATGAAAAGATGATAACTAAGCCATAAAACAACAAAATGGATTGTCCATTAGCTGAAGCCTTTATATTGGGCTTGATATTTTCCTATATATTTATGTTAGTTCAATTATTCTCTACTGTGTAACTTATCAGGTAATAGGGAATTTCCAAGGGAAAATTTCTGGCCTATTTCATGCCAGAAGGTTAGGGATTAAAATGATCTTTCTAATCCAAAGATATACAATCATGCAGCAATATCTCTTTACCAGCTGTCCCTCCCTCTTCCCATCTTTGATACGACTTAAGTGTTTCTGAATGTAAATCTCAGGGCCAGCAGTCAGGTGCTGGTACAGAATGAGTTCCCTTCAGTCCAACTCCTCGGACTCTGGTGTACATTCCTGAATTCTTGCCCCTCTCCCCTCCATGGGCAGTTTGGACATTGCGCTAGTTCACCGAGAACTGTCAGCAGTATGTTCAGACTTTATCACACATTTCACTTCTTCTGAAAAACCGCTCTGTATCAAGACAACCAGTGAAAATGGACAGAAGATCAAAGAATTAACAATGCCAGCCTTAAAATGAGGAAATTTGGCTGCATCAGCTTTGAGTTTTTTGTCCTAGCCTTGAAAGACTGAATTACACAGGCACAAGATCTTTTCCTATCCAGTCTATCTTCTGTAACTCTTTTGTTCCTCTCTTGGGACTCAGGCAGTAGTCATGTCCTGACAATTGAGGAAGACCGAAAGAGAAGTGAAAATCTGCTAGAGGAGAAACACAAGAAACTCTGCAAGGGAATGACCCTCTGTATTTGTTACTCATCCAGTATTGGAGGAATTGCAACTCTGACTGGGACAACACCAAATCTGGTACTGCAAGGACAAGTTGATGAGTAAGTCTGGTTGAATTCGGGATGTCATACCCACTAAACTGCATCATTGTGCTGCAGCTGACTTCCAGCCAACACAGAAAAGGAAAATATCAATTCGGTAACTCTGTCAGGAAGTTATCTTCTCTGCCTTAGAGGGCCTCACAGTTACCTCCACTTTTCTGAATCATTAACTAAATACAGAAGATAGTGCAGAATTTTGGATGCTAACAGCCCTCTGCATTTTACAGGCTCTTTCCTAAAAATGGCAATATCATCAACTTTGCCTCTTGGTTCTCCTTTGCCTTCCCCACCATGATTGTGTTACTGGTTTTGGCGTGGATTTGGCTGCAGATACTGTACTTGGGCTTTGAGTAAGTACCCTTTACACACCGTAATACAGCTGACAGGCCTGTTATCAAGTGCTCTTTACACAAGTGATACTTTTATTGATAAGCCTATGCTTGAAAGATCAAGACAGCAAGTGACAAACTCCTCACATACAAGAGACTAGCAGAACAGAATGCTAAGTATCTGTTAAAATACTGCAACTTTTTCTCCAAGGAACCCGATAAAATCCCAGTTAAATACAGTCTGTAGATGGAAATAGGAAGTTATAACTGCATATAACCTGTTCCACAGCATTGCTTTCACGTTCTGAAAGATTGTTGTGCTTCAAACCAGGAAATTGATTTCTACATATAGCTGGTAAATACCTTTGTGATGAGAGTTGCTACAGACCTAGAGGATTAGTGTTGTGCCAGTTCCCAAAGCTAATCACCCAGATTGCATTACCTACCTGTTTAATATTTAGCCTATCACTTTTGTATCATCCTCAACCTCCTTTCTTTCAAATGGAAAGA